CATGTATTTAGTAATCCTGAGAGTGCATGTGAGATGGAGTGCAACTTTGCTTTAAGAATAACTTCTTACTGCTGTTGGATCTAAAGCTTGTGTGGATTTTTGCTGTTTTTTTCATTCTTTTTCTAAGCACAGCAGGGGAAAAGTGGAAATGGGTAGTTTTATTTGATTTAATTTTATTCTGATTTTGAGAAATTTATTTTCTGATGCAGTATTTGATGAACAAAAACTGTGAAAATCACTACTGTTGGATACTACTGATCTGCCCCTAAAAAACTTGTAATTCTCAATTTGCTATTAAAAGATCCACATCAGTGGCAATTAATTCTTCATGACCTCATCAGAGATGTGTCTTTATTATATTGCCAAATGACTTTTTTTTGTCCAGCACACTAAGGAGGGACAAAATCAATTTTGCCCTTGCCCATCAGTTGACATCACTCATTTATTCCTATAGTCTGTGGTTTAAGGTCCATTTAGTTTTCACAGGAAAATTAAATACAATGATCGTTTCTCTCATCAGCTGTGTAGTCCATTTCATGTTCAAGCTCTAGAAATAGATGTGTTTTAAAGTTGTGTTGGTTCAAAGCATATGTCATTTAATTTGCAAATAGGTGATGTTTTTCATAATCCTAAAACATGAAACTGTGGGTAAGAAGTGTAGCAGAATTAAAAGGATGAGATTTTTGTCTGCTGCTGTTTAAAGTAATTGTGATGGCATTTTTTCATTTTGTAACTAATGTGTGTTTTTAGGAGTGAAGGAAGTTGAATTTTTGTGACTGTGCCTTCATTTCTAATCTCTTTGTGAATGAAAAGCTATATACAGGCACAAATCCAGCAGCTTAATTCTCTGTCTGATTAGAGCGATGTTACCAACCTGGTAGGTTGAAAACAGCCATGATCCATGCAGTGGCGTGGCCTCCTGGGAGGCAGAGTAATAACAATCAAATGAAGACATATTAAAATGTAATATTACTTCCTCTCCATGGGGACTGTGTAAGAATCATAGCCAGGAACTGTTCTTGTCAGCTGACTCTGCTATGCTCACTGACTCCCTGCCTCTGCATTTATGACTAATGCACTTTGTACAACAAACAGCACTTGTGGAGTTTTAAAAGCAAATAAATGTAAAACATTATACATTGATTTGCATGAGTTCCAGCCTTTTTTGTTTATTTGTTTGTTTTGTTGGGGGGTTTGTTTGTTTTTATACAGTTCATGTATTTCAAAGAGGGGGAGGCAGATCAGAATGAGGTTTTTTGGTGTGAATAATTTAATTTCTCCCGTGTGAATGGAGGAGGAGATGTTAAAGTAGTGTGTTATGAACCTGCTAATGTATACTAGCTTCTCTAAAGTAAGTATGTATCAGCAAGACTCTTAAACCATAATTTCATAACAGATAAGTGTTTTCTGAATGTTGAAAAGCTAAACTTGCATTCCATATAAAATGGCAGCTGGTATTGTATTCAAGGAATGCAGACAGACAGTGTCTGATAAACTACTGTAAAAATGGCCTATAAGTTATTAAAATTTTGTTAGAAAGACTTCAAATTAGTAGAGATTTTAGCACAATTATATATGGGGTTTTTTAGGTATAGACAAACTGTTGAATAATTTAATGTGGTTTTGGCTGTAATTATTAGTTTTGCAGTTGACACCAGTGGAGCAGGACAGGTCTCAGAAAATCAGAGGTATTTAACCATCAAAAGATTTAAAAATATTTTGCTACATGTTTAGCAACGTTTTACTTACTTCTACTTTCCTGCGTACTGCTGTATTAATAGAAAGTGAAGTGTGGGATCCTGAGAACATACTAATGAGAAACTTCATATTAATCATTATGCTTATTAATGTTAATATTTAAGCATTTAGCCTTCTTAGCAGAAGGCTTTGTATGGTAACTCATATAAGTAATTGACTTCAAAATCAATCCATATTTAGACCAAAATGTAAAAAAACCTTGTTCGTATATATATATATATATATATATATATATATATATATATATATATGCATATAAGAATAAATTGGATAGAAAGTTTAAAATCTGATTACATAAACACACTGGAGGATAACATTTCCATTTTGGGTACCAGAAACTTGTTTTACATTTGTGTTTAAATCCAAAACTCCTATCGGGGGCACTTTTTTTTTTTTAATATCCTTTCAGTGTGAGCAGAGCTGCAAGTTCTGGGTCACTTTCCCACAGAGGTGTGGATGCAGTGGAGGAGCTAAAATGACAGTGGGTGTAATTTTCATTTGGAAATCAATATAGAAAGGCTGCAGCAAGTGTTTGAGGAATATTTTGTACTCACTCCCTTGTTTGACTTCTGCACACTGCACTGTCAAGGGGCATTAGCAGTATGAAACTGTGTTTTCTCTGCTGTCCCAGATTACTTCTTTTTCTCAGTGAAGCTTTTCAAAGCTTAAAACGATGTGTTTAAAGCTGCCCACTTTCTTCCTGGTACACTAGAGATATGCAAGGTTGTATTTCGGTAGTCTTAATGAATTTCAAAAAATAATTTCCTCCAGTGGCCTTGGGTAATTGTCAGTTTAATTACAGGAAAGGCTGAGAAGGAAACTTGCTTTGTCACTGAAATGCTTCTCTTTGAAAATTCCCTGTTCCTCAGGACGTAGCAGTCTGTACTCTGAGCTACAATGTAGGCTTTCCTAAAATCCCTTGAAGAACTGTGGAAAAAGTGAATACTTCTGCAAATTCATTCATCTGACATCAAAGCTCTGAAAGCATTCTTTTAGCAAGCAGGCGAGGCGGATTGCGCTGGTGTAGGCACACAACCAGACTCATTGTACATCTGGGTCTTCCCATTTGGAGACTGTATTTGAAGTAATTTTTGCATTCTTTTTTTTTCAACTTACTTTCTTATTCTGTGCTGAGGTCAGACTGCATTCTCTGCATCCTGTTGAGGTCTCCTGCTCCATGGGTTAAGTGGATAGGCCTTTAAAGAATAAAAAGGCATTGGTGTTCAGAAGAAGCAGCATTCTAGTCAATTAAAATCAAGTAGAAGGTGTTTTAAGGAGATGTGATTCCCTTTGGCTCGATTAAAAAAAGAATCAAATAACAAAATCACAAGACAAAGTCAGTGTTTATTATTTGTACTTTCAGTTGGTGCTCAGCTTTGGTATTTCTATTTACTGCATTTTTTCTCTGTGTCCTTGTGCTGGTACATTGTACATTGGCAAATAGATCATAAAAAACACTTTCAGCAAAGACACGTTTGATTTATGTCCAGGATGGGTTCTTGGTATTGATTTTTTTTTTCCCCTCTGGAAAAAAAAAAAAAAAAAGAAAACAAAACTATATGTCTCCATTATTTTCCAAGCCTGGCAATGCAGTGACACATTTCAGATCAGCTTTTATCTTAAATTACTCAACGTGCTCTTTTGTATTTTGAAAAGTCTTTTTGCCATACAGCTATTGTCATGTTTTTACAGGGGGGAGGGAACAAGAGGAGGAACTGGGAGGGACCACGTATTAGGAGAGGGGAGTTTTAGGAAAAGAAAGCACAGTTTGGGAAGTTGGTATGGTGGCTGTAATTCGAGTTGGTCACAAAAGAGTCAGAAGTGGAACAAAAACAAGACTCAGATCAAAGGCTAGGAAGCAGGGTTCAGCAGTATGGGGTTTATATCTTTACGGCTAGAGAGAAGATTAGAGCAAGAAAAATACTGCCATGGGGGTAGGAAGACATTGTGAAGGAAAAAGGAAATATACATAGACTGCATTTGAAAGAAAATCCCCAAGGAAGGTGAAAGAGAAGGAGCGAGAATTAAAAACAAAGACCTGAAGAGTGTAAAGCCCACAGGCTGAAAGGAGAGGGGCAGAGGGAGGCATGTGCTGCTTAAGCAGTTCGCCACCACGCCAAGCCAAGCAGTGAGCTCCCTGACGTCCCATTTTCCACTTGTTTTCTCCGGTCGGCGGCCCAGTGCACCCTCTCATAAGTTTATTTTGGGCCTCAGATGAACAACTCCAAGAAATGACAGTGAAATTTCCATCCCCAGGACAAGCAGGGCAGGAGAGCCCCCGGTGCATTCCCTGCACGGGGAATCCAGAGCCCGCCGTTTGCAGCTGTGCCGCGCTCGCGGTGGCCGGCGGCCCAGTGCAGTGCAGTGGCTGCAGCACCAGCTGCGGAGGAGCTGCTGAGCCCTTTGCCAGCAGCTGTTTTGCAAGCAGCAGCTGGCTGGGGCGGCAGCGGCGCGCCCATGCACCGTGATTCAGCCCTGTGGGTTCTCCAAGGGAGCGGAGCATGGCACGGCAGTGCCAGCCTGCGCCCGGATCGCGTGGCTCCGGCCGGCACCTAGATAAGGCAGAACAGTGCGGACACAGGGGAAAGCGGCCCGTTGTTTGTGTGAGCTGAAAGGTTTCCCTGAGAGTAGAGCGTACTCCCCTTTGCCACCCGCCCCCGCAGAGGCTCCTCAGTGCTGAGAAAAGTGAGATTGTGCTTTAAAATATTAAATAGTTTTCCAATCAGTTCAGAATCTTAGCTTTCACCTGGGTCTTTTGTATGCGTTCACTTATTCCAGCAGGAGATTTGTAATAGAGGAAGCAGGTGTAACGTGGTGATTATAAAGATATTGTTGGGAGGGGGAAAAAAAGAGTGATTTTTTTTTCAGTGCTTTTCTCCTCTGAGCCTGCCAGAGCTTCCTTTTCAGCTGACTCCATCACCTTTTTAGCAAGATGGTGTGTTTTTGTCCAAGTCAGTCAGTCAGTCAATTGTGCATAGGAAAATAAAAGGCTGCTGGGTAAATTTGAAACCTTGATAACACATTCCTCCATTTGTATATATTGTACAGCTTACCAGTGTATTCATTCCTTTGGCTTTCAACATTTCACAACTTTCCATAGGTCAGCCCAAGCAACAAAAACAGGTCCTGGTAGATTGAAAGATCCCTGCTTTCAGACACTCATATTCACATCACTTTGCCTGTTGATTTCCTGATTTTTATTTATTTTTATTTTTATTTATTTTTCTTTTATTTTTAATCAGCAACATCAAATGGGTCTTTGGAGGGCCTGGATAACCAGGAGGGAGGGGTGTGCCAGACAAAAACCATGAAGATCCTCATGAAAGTTGGACAAGGTAAAGACCATCTGCTGTTTCATGAAATCACTTTGATCGGTCTCAATGTCCTTTTTAGTTTCCAGGCTTCTTTTAGCAGTGTAGAGCAGAGAGGCAGTCGAGCCTTAGTGTGGTCATTCCTCCCTTATAGTCTGAAAGCACAGCCTATTTTCTCTTCCTCGGCTACTGACAGATTTCTACAGAAGGAGGGTTAGTGTAATAAGATCTCTTCATTGGAGAGATCCCTAGAAGGAGAGGTCACCTGGGAGTAGTGTGTTTCAGTCATTTTTATTTTTATTTTAAAAACAAAAGCCACAACTCTGCTGCTCAGAATTATTTAAAATACATGAAAAGAGGGAAGCTAATATTTCTATAGTTTGCTTGTTATGAATTCTGATTACAGAGAGGTTTTTGTTCATTGTCTCTTTTCACATATAGATAACCTATTGTGCAGGAAGAAAGAATTATTCTTCTAAGTAGAAGTTGGTTTAGTAGTCAATCAACTTCCTCAGTTAAACTGAAATGTCATCTGCTAAGCTTTTCTTGCCAATTACAGGAGACCCTATAGTTTCTGCAGATGGCCTCACAATTTAAACCTGAAATAACTAATATAACCATTTTGCTTTAAAAGGAAAATTACCTTCTTATATCTCCCAGCCCTTTGCATAAAGGTTCTTCTGTTAAACCATTTGTGTCTCACAAGGTACCTAGAGCCAGCTTGTGAGGCTCCATACCATCAAGTGCCAAAGCTGCATGAGTCCTCTTTCTCTCCCCAGATCCCAACTCAGCAGGGCAGCCCCGGTACACGGATCCCACCAGGCGCCCCGAGCAGGAAGCTGGCACCAACGGGAAGAGTTCCACCACCAGCCCCTTTGTGAAGGACCACTCAGGTAGGTGTGGTGGGGCTTTGCCCTGGAGCGTCTTCTCCTCCTTTGTCCCCAAACGTCTTTTACTTTACCATTAACATGCCAGAAAAGCAAATGTATTCATCATGAGATGAGGCAAAAGCCCGTTGTGATTGCCCCGGTGGATAGTGTGTGGGAGCTGCAAGTTATGGCAACAGCTGCTCCCTCCCCTCTTCCACTCTCCTGTAGAAGTTAATTACGTCTTGTCACAGTGTCTCTCGTTTACAGGAAGATTTCTGGATAGGGCATTTGCTAAGCAGCTTTGCAGTGGTCAGTGCTGCCTTACAGTTAGTACTCTGGCAGATGAACGAGTCCCTTTCTCTTCCCGCATGATACATTATCAAGTGGTTCTTGACAGCCATTTATAAAGTTTATTTCAGGGCATCTATAATTAATGTCCTGATGTTTTAGCTGACCATATGAAGTCTAGACATGTATGGCTGGTCTTCTACTAAATGAAAAGTTTTGGGGCTTTATTTTTTTTTTAATAATTATCTAAACAAAATAAATGGATACAAATATCAAAGCTAATATCTTCAAGATGCATTTCACTCATAGGGTGAACAAGAGAAAACCTAACTCTTAAGACTCAAGCTGTCCAGAAGAAAATTCAGTAATTAATAATGTTACAAAGCAAACCTTTGCTGACAGATGATGCTGGGTTTCCCAAAAAAGGCCACAAGTTTTCCTTGCCAGCTGTGTCTTTAGTTACTGGGCTAGTGAATCTTTGGTACAGTGAGTGGCTTCAGCTGATCCCTGCAGAGGCTTTGGTGGGAAGAGTTAACAATTATGTGAATATAGCATCTGTATCATTTTTTCATTGTGAGTGAACATCAAGAGAGAGAAATATGTTAAAACTTAGAAGTGAAAAAGTGTCAATGAGCATTCATATAATTTTTGTGACACATAATGTGATGGTGTGATAAGCAGCAAATATTCAACAGGCTGTTCAGCACATGAGCTTTGCCTGACTACTAAATGCGTGGTATTGTTTTCTTTTAAGTAAATGTAAGTTAATACTAACAGACATGCCCTAACCATGCTGCCTGTCTCCCATGCTGCCTCAAGCTCCTTAGTTTCATTTCCAAGCAAGAGGAGTCCCTGTAAAGAGGCACTAAGGATGGTTTAACTTAAATCAATATGCAAAAGATAAAATAGCAGAGGGAACAGCGTGGCTCTGAACAGTACCAGTTGTTCTGAGAATTGTCATTTCCCTGTGTTATTTTCCCTTCCAGTCCTATCCCACCCCTCTCTTGTGCCTGGGGCTGGCCTGCATCTGTTAAAAGATGCTGTGTGCATCAAAGGCTGCCTTGTCAGTGACAGTTCTCGCTGCTGATGGATGATGATGTATGAAACAGGGTGGTTTGGGAGCAACACAAAAGTGAGACCAACAGGCACAAAGTCTTGCTTTATATCGATTGCTGACTTCGGCTGTTTGCATTTAGCTATCTAACAGGGTAATTGGTTTGTCAAAGTTTAGCTGTCAGTTAATTCTTCCAGTCTTGCTTACTCTACACATTTTTAAGCAACGTAAATGGGTCACAGGATGGCAATAACTTTTGTCTATTGTATTTCCGTTCTTTCCAGGATCTAGCACAGATGGCAGTAAGGCTGGGCATTCCAGTATACTGGGTTCAGAGGTGGCCTTATTTGCAGGGATTGCATCAGGGTGCATCATTTTCATCGTCATCATCATCACTTTGGTGGTTCTTTTGTTGAAGTACCGGAGAAGACACAGGAAGCATTCCCCGCAACACACGACAACTCTATCACTTAGTACGTTAGCCACCCCAAAACGCAGTGGCAACAACAATGGTTCTGAGCCCAGTGACATTATCATTCCTCTAAGGACTGCAGACAGTGTCTTTTGCCCCCACTATGAAAAGGTCAGCGGCGACTATGGACATCCGGTGTACATAGTTCAAGAGATGCCTCCTCAGAGTCCAGCAAACATTTATTACAAGGTCTGAGGAACACACAACCAGCTCTGTGGTACAGTTGAGTCGTAGAGGAAACTCACTGGTCAAATGCTTTCTGTTGGGGTTTGCGATGACGCCTTGTGCGCTAGCATTGACTTAAGCACAGGGAGGAGAAGGCAACAGCTCTTTCTCCAGGAACCGACGCGAGCTGGACAGCTTACCTAGTCTGTAGAATCCCTATCTCGGTGAATAAGTATTCACTAAAAGCTGGAAGACTTTTCTGTAGAAGATGCCCATTCTGATTGCTGTACTCTTGTTACATTCATCATCCTCAAAGCCATGTGCTGTGGGCATTCAGGCATGTACAAAAGCCAAGGGAAGATGGAGCAATCCGTGGATGTTAATAGCTCTAGGCATCCTGGGAAGGTGCTCTAGGATATATCAAGCTTGAAATGCAATCTTCTGACTTTTGTGTGTCTCTCTCAGTGCGTACTGGATTTGTCACACAGACCTTGGTGTCTAAGTAAGACTTGTTAAAGTTCTCTTGCTTTTAGTCCGTCACTGTTCCATTTGTTTCTGTTATCCGGGGCTCTGCCATCCTTCACATAAGATTTCCTTTCACTCCACCTCCTGAATCACTAATGGAACATTAATGTTTGGAGATCCGCACTCCATCCATCTGCTACAGCAGCCTCACTCGAATGGGTAATGCATTTATAAAAATTGTGTTTGATAGTAAGGAGCCTTCCAGCCAAAAAGTTAGGCTGTCAACAAAGTCAAGAGCAGGACTGGGTGGTGGAGGGAAGGGCTGATTGAGGTTGCAATTGAATATTGCTGCCTCAGAAATAGAAGCTGGGAAGAAAAAAAAATGCATTTAGGTAGCACAGCACTTTGGTATGCTCAGTTTTAAGAGGCAAGTAGGAAACACAATAACATGTGCAGTGGATTAAGGCTGCATTTGAAGGAATTCACGGTTATCAAATACCACTGTGCAGAAAAAAATAGTACCTTCAATACAGTAGAACAAAGGGGTATTGTTAGTAAGTCAACAAGCCTGGAGAAGACAAGACAATAGCAGGCCACTGAGGATGTATTAGGGCAGGGCTGTTGTGGTACTGGCAATAAAATAAACAGCTTTGAAGCTGTAGCAAAAACGTAGTCTGCCTTGGATGACTTTTAAGCAGACTCAGCTGCTATACGATCACATTATACTAAACACAGGGAAAGCATTTAAGAAAACAACTGAGAGCCAAGTGCCTACGATGATTATAAGCCAGTGGGTCAAATGAGCTATAATTCTATCACTGATAAAGTTGTGGGGAAAACAAACAAAAAAAAAAAACAAACCACAAAACCTTGCTCATCTCTGAAAGTAAGGCAGAATTTCTTTGTGACTGACCCTTTTGGCACTTTGGCTTATTGTAGTGCTGTCCCTGCACACAGTGAGTGTAGGTACTGACTGACACAGCAGTTCATTGGTGCTCAGTTGCAAAGTTAAAGCACATATGGCAAACCTCTGGCAGTCCGTAAGGGTAAAATAAATTATGACACTGAGATGGAGAAGGAAAATATGTCTTATTTATAATAGGTGTATAGAACACAAGGGATATAAAGTGAGAGTTTTTCTTTTGTTCATTCTTTCTTACTTTTGGTTTGGATTTTTTTACTAATATATATTTTGAGATTGCACAGAATCTACACCAGAAGATGTGAAATTCATTTGCGGCAATTGCATAGTCTTAACTTGTCATCACTTTCCATATATGTGTGTGTGTGTGTCTATGTATATACACACATATATAAGTATATATGCATACGTATGTATATATATATGTATGCATATGCGCACATTTTTTTTAAAAATAAACTACTTCTGGAAAAAAAAAAAAAACAGCTATCCTAAACCACCAGTGGGAGCATAGTTAAAAAAAAATTCCAAAGCATCTTGTAAGAGGAAAGTAGAAAATATAAGGTCCAAAATATCAGGAATTCAGTGTTACTGCATCACTTATTTAACAGCAACAAGATGTGCCGGCATTTATTTTCTGTGTTGTGTTTTCCCTTGCCTTACAGGGTGATGTGTTCTGTAGATTTTGTTGAGGTTCGTAGAGGGGGGTTTCAGGTTAAAGTTTTCTCTTTAGCGTGGCTATTCCCCTAAAGCTCCCACCATAGGGAGGAAATAAAAAAAAACAACCTCTACTTTTATATGTGCTATGCAAATAGACATTTCTAACATAGTCATGTTACTATGGTAACACTTCGCTTTCTGATTTGGAAAGAAAATGTAGCAACAGCATTTTAGGGTTCTCAGACCTCTGGTGAGCACCTGCAAGAGAAAAAAAAAGAAAAAAAAAGGAAAGAAAAGAAAAATATCTGTCATAGAAATGATCACTCGCTTTGTTTTCTGAACCTGAAGATAATGTTGGGATGTTGGCCCAAAAGAGAGAAACAAAAAACAAAAAAAATTCCAACCCATGGTTCTGTGGCAGGTTACCATGGTGACTAACTACACTACATATGTAATTCTTTTCAACAACCCTTCTTTTCTATGAATCTATCCATACAAGGTTCTCTTGTAAGTCATTAAGATTTTATTTTGGGGGAGGGGAAGGGAAAAGATGGGCTTACTGATCCTTATTTTTATTAAATCATATCTATGCTTCATCAGTTGGCTACATTCTAGTTATATACTAAACTGTGAAAAAAAATCAGACTAATTGCTCAAGAGCAACCTGCAACCAATTGAAAAAAAAAAATGTACTGTGCGTCTGTTTTGTGTCTGGTGCAGAATTATGACAATCTACCAACTGTTCCTTTCTTTGACGTTGGTCCAGCTTTGAAAAGTTACTGTAAATGCCTTGCTTGTATGATCATCCCTAGTCACCCAAATTGGAATTTGCACCATCATGTCTAAGTGAAGATGCTGTAAATAGGTTCAGATTTACTGTATATGGATTTGGGGTGTTACAGTAGCCTTATTCACATTTTTAAATAATTAAAAAACCCACATGAAAACAAGATAAAAAAGGCTTTTCTTAACCAGATTGTGTATATAGAGCAATGTTGGTTTTTTATAAAGTCTGAGCAAGATGTTTTGTATAAAATTTGAATTTTGCAATGTATTTAGCTACAGCTTGTTTAAAGGCAGTGTCATTCCCCTTTGCACTGTATTGAGGAAAAAATTATATAAAAGGTTGCCAAATTGCCGCATATTTGTGCTGAAATTGTGTACCATGAATATTTATTTAAGAATTTCTTTGTCCAGTTTGTAAGTAACACAGTATTATGCTTGAGTTATAAATAATTTCTTCTTTCTTTTTCTTTTTTTTTTAATTTTATTTTTTGGTTTTGTTTGTTTGTTTGTTTCATTCTGTATTAAAACTAGCCGGTCATAAGTTTGAAATCTGCTTTAGTTCCACATTGCAATTAGTTCCCAGAAAATGAAAATTATGAAAATCACATTCCACGTCTGTTTCAAACTGAATTTGTTCTTAAAAAAATAAAATACTTTTTTCCTATGGAAACCTTGCCTTCTAAGTATTTTCTTCTTTAGTTTTGCAATTTTTTTTCTTTTTTAAAGGATGAAAATAAGTAAGAAAGTCACCAAGCTTGCCTGCTTGCCTCCCCCCGTCTCTCTCTTCCTTCTCTCCCCCCTCTCTCCAACCTGATTGCTAGTGGTTTATAGGAAATCTCCTTAGAGTACACTGACTTCTGTTAGCCTACTTCTTTCAAATTCTCTCTTCCATATATCAGCAGTTTTTAGGAATCACCTGGGCATCTTACGCTCTTGGAAGGCAGTGAACTGCAGTCAGATGCAGTAGCCAGGTTTCCTGGATGATCTTGGAGTTGAGAGTACAACCACATAAATAATTCCCAGACATTATGTGGTGGATGTACTCGGTGGGCAGAATCAGAGGAAAAAAACAAACACCTGAAGCTTTGTCCTGAGGAGGGGCAATGGAGAGCCTGGGGTGACAGGGCTGAGCAAGAAGGGACAGGAGATGAAAGACACTGGGAGGATGACAAAGGATTGGAAGTGCTGCAAAGCCAAGACATCTCTTCATGGTTCTTTTACTGCAGCCTGGGGGAGATGGGGGCCAACGTGCAGGTAGCATGAGCCTTAATACAACTCCTGTGATTCTACTGCCCTAATTTTCACTAGGGTAACGAATTCACTTATAAAATAATACCTTCATTTTCTGACAAAGCCCAGTCACCCTGAAAGTGAAGCACCTTTCCGTTTGTTAGCAGCGCATAAATGGTGTGATGGGCCATGGAGTAACAGGTGGGAAGGTCTACAGAGGGCAAATATGCATTTGTCACTTTAAAAACAGATGCCAATTAGCCATAGAAATTTCACAGTTAGCTATTTGTAGTATGGGTCATGCAATTCCCATTTGTCAAACTATTTATTTTTTTCTGAATAATCAGAGGAAATGTCAGTAAGGCTAGCACACTTGGCATGTCACAATGACGCAAGTACTCTGAAATGGGATGTACAGAAACCCCTGGACTGGGAGATGGTTGAGCTAGTATGGCTTCTTGCAGTTGGAGCTCCTTTTGGAGATCCAGGTCACAGAATCTGTGCTGGAAGTCGACCTTAAAGGCAAAGTCACAGTGACACTTTGGTTCACCTCCTGCCTCTGGTACAGATGACCTTGGAGATTTGGTCCAGCAGAAGGTATAAGAGTGAAACATGTGAGCATCCTCTGGCATCTCAGTAAATCTTGGGCCTAATCCTCTATTTAGGTCTGTAAGCCACTTCAAAGGAGGAGGTAGCCTTGTGTTTGTTCTCTGAGCACGCAGCTACTCGGCTGGATTGTGGTTTCACTCCCTGCTCAATGGTTGCACACGGCAATTCCCCTTGCTGGTCTCAGCAATTCCCCTTGCTGGTCTCGGTGGGTTGTCGTGAGGGCTCCCACGCCGTCATCAGCTGTGAGGTGCTCAGGTCTGGTCTGTGCTGAGAGCCTGTCTGGCACAGCCATCTGTTAGAGCTGTGGCTCTGGCTTAGTTAGGGCCAAGGCTATTGTTTGTATTTTAATCCTTGTTAAATACTGGAAGCTGTTGATAAACAAATACTTCAATAGTGTCAAGTTTACACGGCATTTTCATTACTGTGCCTCTTTTTTCTGCGTATATTATTACATATATTTATAGCTAGCATGTATACTGACACCCATGGACACCTATTTTTGCCACTGTCTTAGCAACAAGGGAAAATTGCTGTTGCTAAAAAACTGTGTCTCCACTGGGAGGGAAAAATCCTTGCCAGTGTAATAACTATCTGTATATTTATGCCTGGGGCCAATGATGCTTGGTTAACAGGAGTGCCTTGCACGCATACCTTCCCAAATGGAGCAGAACCTCCACTGAGTTGCTGAACTCATTTTAGTAAAAGATGCCTTAGACACTCAGCATAAAGTCATTGTCTTACAACCCATCTGTTATAACTTGCAGAGGAAAAAAAATACTTTCATTTTTTCCTGCTGCTGACACCTCACTATTAATTATCAAACAAGCACAAAATCAGAATTTACTGCCTTTATAACAAAACTGGTTCTCTGGCAAGAGCTGGTCCAAGTCAATAGGCTCCACTAAGTGGAAAATAAAATTATAATTCACAGTAGTTATCTATCTAGAGTGGAATTAGGATCTGTTATATAATATAGTGCCTCACAAAGTAAGCAAAACAATGTTACTGCCTTGGTTTAAAACCTTGTACCTCTTGTTCAGCCTGTCTCTTCAGCTTTGCTGTGATGCATTGATCAAATGCTCACTCAGTCAGCAGCACACTCGTTTTGATTCTATGGGCACCATAAATTTTCTTTTTGCAGAAAAGCTTAAAATTTTGTAGTGGTTAGCAAAATAAAGGACAATGAAAATGCAGTCTTTCTAACTGCCGCTCTCCATCTTCACAGCCACAATACAAATTTTGGTGGGGGAAATGCCCAAGGTTTGAAAACACCAAACAAACTTCTTATACAATTGGTATGTCATTACACGAAGCATCAGACCAGCAATAAAGTAATATTTGTTTTGGAAACAAAATGTATGTTGGAGCGTATAGCACAGTGTATTAATGGTTGTGCTATTCATAATCCAAATGGTGCTGGATTCAGCTGACTGAGCTATCGTCTACGAAACAAAATAATAACACTCGTCTTTCACATGAGTCATGCAAATACTGTGATGCGTAATTAAGGCATAATGCAATCCATAGGAAACCCTCTTGAGAAGGAGGGGCAGGAGCCTGCCCATACACAGTGAGGATGAGGAGGTGGAGCTGCTGGTGGCTGCTTCTGGAGGAAGGACTGTGGAACAGTGGGATGAGGCAAGAGAGGGAAAGTGTGTGAGAGGGCAGTGACTTTCTGAGCAGTGACTTTCTTCAGGGAGATCTGCAATGACAAAATCCAGGGAGAAATCGGAGCTAGGTGGCAGCTGTGGAGGCAGAGAAACAGGGTCTTCAGAGCTCTGAGAAAGGCTTTGGTGGAAAACAACGTGCAGAAGAAAAGTGTTGACAGATGAAAAGCAAGTGTAGTGTTTGATAAGTATTGGTTGTTGTTTCAAGTAAGAGGAAAGGCCAGGTTGTTCTGCTAGATACTGACAGGAGACTAAGCCTAAATAAGGAGGAGAACCCAGGCCAGAAGTCAGTGCTTTCTGCAGCCTCGGATCCTGTGAAAAAGAAATCAAGGATCTCCAAGAACTGTAGGACTAGTCAAACTCCAAAAGGCAGAGAACCGTGTGCACGGCTGTCATAGCTGGAATACAACTTGTGTTTTCATAAGTGCATTGAAAAACCCTCATGTGCTTAGACTGCTGAAGAAGTGCAATTATTAAATTAATAATATGGGGAATTCATGGAGGGTGTGAGGAGAGTTGTTTCTAGATCAGACCTTCAGTGGATATAAATTAGCATAGTTCAGTTTGATATCTGCTCCTACTTATCACAGTTCAGAGTTGCACACGCCTAAGCAATACTCATACAGATTTTACTGTAGGCCTCAGCTGTGAGGAAATGCTTTGTAAGAGTGTTGTTCTGAATATTATGAAGATTATATTCAAAAACATACCAACAGTGACTTGCTTTTATAAAATACTGCTATCAATGCCATAAAAATTGTATTTTGTATTTTACTGAACATTGTCAGCAATTTGCTGTATCTGTTCATTAAAAGTAGGTTGGATTACTAGCAAATGTGTAATAAAAATTGTTCATGTTTTAATGAGTCTTTTTGGCCTCTCTTTAATATTTAAACTCATTCCTTCCTACTCCTGCACTCAATTCTATTTCTTATGCTTAACAGGCAGGTCAGCTGTGCAGTGTTATCTGTTCATGCCCACATGCTATGTTTCTAGTCTTTCCAAATCTCTTAATTTGTTCAACATACCTAATTCTGACTGTCTTTAAACTCAGCTGTTGGACGTGTATGACCACATGAATAATTCAGTAATCATTCAGAATCAATAGCACTTCAGCTTTCGTTGCCATGAGAAATACGGGAGGATGAGAGGCCAGGAGGCCAGAAGAGCCCTTTGTTTGTCACCCTAAAAGACCCTGAGATTTGGGGAAATCCAAATGATGATGAAAGAGTTAAAAATCATGCATGTGCTGCCTTTGCTTCACACTTTCCCTTCATTATGTGTTATGTTTTCTTTTTATACATAACCAACAAAGCATATCTGAATTTTCCAGGCCTCAAAACAGGGTCTAAGCTGTAGAGATTCATATGGCTGGGTCTCTAGGTCTTTTCTCAAATTCCCACTGTTGGGTAAATGCTGGCTGCTTTCCTTCAGCCTGTTCATTGCACACCCAGATGCCTTGCCCTGATCACCTGCTCATCACACCAGCCCTCGCTGGGGCTTCATATGTTCCCAAATAAGGTTTAATTTCTGGACAAAGCTTTTGTTACTCACCCTGAAACTTTCTTTTCAGATATTGCCCTAGGCTTTCCTCCCTTTATTTGCCTGTCTCTGGATTTCAGCTGGCGATGGCATTTCCTGAAAAAAAATAAGGTTCTGATGGAACCCAGGAACCGTCCCTGTACCAAGAGTGTGTTTTCTTATAAGCCCCTTATTTTTCAATCAGCTTTAGTTTGAATTTTTATATGGCTTCATCTATTCCTTTTGTATTTATGCAGTTGCATCTGAAGGAAAATAGCATGCAGTAAAATTCCTAAATACAATTTAAATATAGCTTGTTTCAATCCACTTGGTTTTACATTTCCATTTATCAATACATTAAGCTAAAAATATCTCAGATTGCTTTGTCTTGCTTCTTGTAATTTAAGAGAAGTTATTGAATATGTTATTATTTCTTCTCAGAAAAGTGTAACCAGTTCACTTTGGAAAGCATCATTTGAGCAGAATTAAGAAGCAGTTATCAATGTGCAGCACAAAACTGAGTGAGCATATTTAAAAAAGACAGAATGACTTTTGGCAGTAACCAATACTTGGTTTTGGTTTGTTTCCTTAAGCCAGCTCAAAACTGGAGAGGAGAAAGTGCTGTTGGTTTTACAGCCAGTGCCCCAGTCTGGTGGCAGCCAGACTTTATGTAGCTTTGTCCTTTCAGTCTCTTATGACAAACTTAGTGATAAAACTGAATTCTGGATGCTTTGGCCACCGAAAGGTGTAACCTATGTGATTACACACAATACAAGGGATTTATACTAGGACATTGTTCCTGCAGAAGAGACATAAATCCCTTTTTCCAGCTCCTCTCCACTCCGTTCTAGTGCTGCATTTCAAACCAGCAGACGTTTTTACTTTGGATTTTTTACTCAGCCTAAATATTTCAAAGATAGCATCAGAACTATATTTATCAAGTTATACAACTGTGTAGCTGGCTGCTTGCAATGTTTCCACAGCATCCTCTTCACACAAGACACCATTAATAGACTGGTGCCTACAAGCATCCAGATGAGGCTTGGGAGACTCATTTTTGCACCAGCTTTTTGAGAGACATCTTAGCACTGCACTTTAGCTGTGTCACGCTACTGATAGATTGAAAAACCAACACACTTTGCTGCAGAAAGGC